TGGAATACAGAAAATTAATTGTTTTTACATTAGCACTATTCTTTGGAAATGTGGTAAGATCTTTACTCCACTGTGTCAGGGAGCAAAGGAACAGACCCATTTCCATCACCGTGAAAAAAAAACAGAATAGTAATATCTACCTTGTATGGTAAGTAAGTAACAGTCAGTTCTGTGAACAATTGCATGCCCTGTGAGTGGCCATTAAAATACAAAATAAACCAGTTGTTACTGGGACTAGTAAAATAAGTATTTCCTAGTGCCTGCAGGCACACAGAATTCAATCCTTATTCTTTTGAAGTGGTTGGAAGGCAAGGTAGTACAGATTTGCTAAATCATAGTAATGTGTTTTCACATTTTTTGTCTTGACGCACAGAACTGCTGGGGAAGGTGTTTTGCAGAGGGATGAAGGCAAGTGGTGCAAGTGCTTTATTTAAGCACTTGATGCTGTTTCTGTTCATTTCTCCAAGCATTCGCTTTTGAAATCAAGTTAGTATTCTGTCCTGGAGTTCAAAGCTCAGCTCCTTCCTTCTTCCTAAAATGAAACGATGTTTTGTGCATGCACTGTAAGTTGCTTGTATCCTTTAACATATCTGTGCTATAATACTTCAAACTGCTTCCGTCAGAAACTGGAAAACATTTTTTTCCAGGTGCTAGTCACGTTTTCTGGGCTTGTCTTTCAGTTGTCATGTAATAGGCTTAGTGCATGACTAAAGGATTTTTTTGAAATTCCACATAAAATGTTTTATAACACTGTAATGTTAATGTTTCTTATACCTGACAGCATGACGAAATCAAATGATTAAGTGTACAGTGCAGTGCAGAGAGACCGGAGTAGCTGTTTACTGGTTACAGTACTACTGCTTTTAAACTTTCTCCACATCTGCAAATTGCCAAGTGAATATTTTTGATGGTGTTATTTTTCATTTTATACACATCGGAATAGCACTGTAAATTGTTTCAATATAAAAACGGTTGCAGGAGTTGTATAATCTATATGTTTATAGTGTGGGGGTATATGTATATAGTGTATTCTCTGTATAAAGAGAGACTGGAGAGAGAATATTAACTGTGATGAAGTCATGAACCCAGGCGCCCGCTATAGGCATCTGCAAACACTGGTTACCCTGGCAACAAGTGGAAAGAGGTTGGAGAGGAAAGCTGGAGTAGGTTGTTGCATTGAATTGTTTTCAGCTTGTTTCTTCCTCACTAAAGCAGGGAAATGTTGAAAGGTATGATGTCCCTCTTTCTATGTGTATACTATTTTTATGTATTTACACAGTTGTTGGGAAAGGGAAGGCTAAAAAAAAATACTTGTAATTCAGCTCGACTGGAGGCGAACTTTTCAATATAAATAATAATATGCATTGCAAATCTATGTTTTGTCTATGTGCTTAATTTTTGTGTGTTGTGCTGTAAGGTGGGAGTGCTAAATGGATCTCCAGAGTACAGTACCTGTCCCGTCTTCAGCCTGGAGACAAGTGACTCTTGCATATTATGTCTTCAGAAACTGATTTTATTTTAAACTGGGTTTGTAGAGCTAATGTTTGAAAACCTGCCAGGACAGTACAAGTGCTGGGTATTACCAAAAGATTTGTTAACTGATATTAAATCTTAGCTTCTGAACCCCTTCAGAATGTGCTGTACTTACATTCTTGTGATCTTGCACTTGTGCAGAATATTGTGGCTCATGAGTTAGTGGAGTCTGTACCTCCCCAGGGAAAGTTTTTATTAGAAAAACTAGGACATTATGTTCAGGGCTATAACAGCATCTTCCACAAGACAAATATCAAGATATTCTCTTCAGAAATCTGTTTTAGACAAATAGTAGGAGATCCAACTGTGTGTTTCTTCTTGATTATCCTTCTCTCTTTTGCCCTTTTCGTCTGTAATGAAAAAAGATATAATAAATATCTGTGCACTATATTAAAGTATAAATAGTATAAATTATTATATATACACCTGAAACAACCAATTCTTGTCATTTTCAAGAATTTTAAAAAATACTTTGTCCATTAACTTTATTTTTAACTTAGAAATAATGTCTTTCAAGTGACTATTACAAAAAAAAAAAAAAATTAAAAATTGCACAGTCCTAAAAGAATAGAGTGTATGACCCAATCAGGGGATAGAATTCAGTCACTGTGTATTTAACACCTCTGACAGCAAGGGATTGATTAACAGACAGTGGTTCTTGATTTCTTATGTACTGAAAGACGCAGCCTAATAAAATATTAACAAGTGGTGTTTCCAGAAGTGCAGTGATAGAAATACACACTTAGTGTGCCAGACTCATGCCCTTTCATTTCCATTCACTTCTACATGAAAAAGGGCTGACACATAATTTTATTAAAATGAAGTCTAATTTTACTACACTATAAAACTGGATCTTCAAAACTAACAAAACCAAATATGATATGGAAGGTGGAGATGCATATGAGTATGATGATTGTTCATAAAAGAACATAGACTGATAGCAGTCTTGTGGCATCTTCCTAGAAATGCTTAAAAGAGCTTTTGTCAGCAGGGCATAATTTAGTTAAAATAAAGCACAGCAAATCAGCTTAAGCAATGATATATCTTATAATTAAATAGAGATTATAATCAGCATAAGAGGTAGAGTTTTGTCATTAAACAATAATGCAAATCATCTTATTCTTAATGGTGAATAATAAGTCTCTAATGTAATTTACCAGTTGAGTACATACAAAACTGTTCTCAGCAGTATAGTTGAGGCTGTAGGATTTGCAGTTTATTTGTGTATAGTATTGTATCTACTAAATTAATTACTGGTTTTGTATTCTTGGTTAATAAGTGGATAAGAAAGATTCTGTTAGTACTTACCCTAGATACTTAAGACTGAGTTTGGAGTGTTGGATTAAGTTAAAAAGGAGTTGACTTCTTAGCTGTCTTGTAGGGTGATCTTCTGAAATAATTTTCATCTTGCTTTTTTCTTCAAATGTTGATGTAATGTTTCTTTCTATCTTTTGATCAAGTGTCTTGAAGCCATTTCAGTGTGAAAGTCTTCTGGGTTTAGAATACAGCTTATGCTCAGACGCTAGCAGCGTAATGGGATATGTGTATATTGGCTTCAGGCCACGTTAGGGCTGATCCTTCTTTGTACAGTCTCTTGTACTTTGTCAGCACGTGGTTAAATCATACATGTATTTGGTATAAAGGGCAGGCAAATACACACAATGATCCTTCAGCTATCCTCTGCTGCTTAAACAGGGAAACAATGGATTATGATTTTCCTAGTCAAGATTCCTGTAGTTTAAATACTTCCTTCTGTGTTGTTTTTAAGCTGATTTGGTCTATTAATACAGTATATGTATAGATACAACTATTATTTTCCTACTTCCAATGCTGTATTTTGAAGTATCCATAGAAAAATGTGCAAGAGAGTGCTGAGAACGAGAACTACATTCTTCTGCATTAGACCTTTCCATTTTGTGCTTGATAGTGAGTGGAACATCACAGAACAGAAGCTGCCTGTGATTTGTGCTGTAGTGTGTGACCTTTCCTTTTCGGGAACTATTGGAGAATTCTCTACAAGCAAACTCGTTTATCCTAAGGCTTATATTGGCTATCAGCTACAAGTTTAGATGATACGTTCTTTTCTTTACCAATGAAAATTAGTGGGTGAAAGAACTTACAGCCTGCTTTGGTAAGCCTTTTTTTGTACAAATTGTTCAAGAAGCCTAGAAAATGTAATTCATTAAAAAAGTTGCGTCTTTCAAACTGCATTGATCTGACTTTTACCAAGCTGTTAAGCTGTAATGTTGTTTTAAGCATTTTCTGCAAGGGGAACTCTCTTACAGGAGAATATTACCATGGTAAATTCCAAGTTCTTATCTACATTGATGAAGATGGAGAAGTGTCTTCAACACTTGAGGGTGTGGGGGTATTTTTCCAATGAGGAAAGGTTGAAATACATACTCCTTCTTAAAATACCATACTGTCAAAATCCCAAATTAATTTAAGGCATGGACATAAAAAGAATTTTAGAGCAAATTACGCTGTGAATATACGCTGCATCTGCTGGTCTGTGATAGATGCCTGTGCATACCTGAGCCTGTATAAATATAAGGTGATTCAAATTAGACTAGACAGCCCTTTGTTTTTGAAAGATACCTTCATTTTTATCAGAGAATGGGGCTTGTTTGTGTGTCCATAGCCTTGGAAGGCTAGCTGCTGTTTCAGTCTGCCCTTCCCAGAAAGGGCATCAGTAGCTCTCAGTAGTTCAGTGAAAATTGCTCGCTATGTACAATATGCAGCTCAGTGTGTAAAAAAACTGGTTTAACACTGCATTAATTTGAAAGCAGATACAGCTGGTGCGTAATAAAGAGATTGCACACACACATACACGGATTCTGAGTTATAAACATCCCAAGTTCTGGAATAGCAGAGGTGGGAATTTTAGACTAATGTATTTATAGAGGTACAGTGGACATATAAGTGAAAAGTGGGCATTTAGTATAACTTGATATTGGTTTCATAAAAAACACATTTGACCCTGTTACTGGATGTTCACAGCAATTAATCTTCCTTACCAGTAAGCTGCACTTCAGTGTAGCATGTACCTGTGGTTGCAGATCAGAGAGGGACCCATCAACCACAACTGGCTCATCATTAAGGGTGATGGATTTTGCTCTGCATGTGTGGCAGGTGTTTCAACCCTCACATCTCAAAAGGAGAATGGTCAGTTGCATGTGTTTTTCTTGCAGATGTGCAGAGATAACAAACTGTCATACACAGAATTTTTTCTTTTGCTTTTTAAATGACATTTACTTTTTTTTTAATTGATGGCACCAAGTATTAAAAAGTTGGTATTGCCCATCTTAGCTTGCCAGAATTTAATTTCACTCAGTCATGTTATAGTTTAGAAATAGAGCAAGGGTTAAAAAAAAATTTCTACCAGTTAGTTAGACAGCAAAAGGATTGAGGCTTAGGAGAGAGATCAGGTTGTCTCTTAATCTGTGAATTATATTTCATTAATAAAGAGGAAGAAGAGCTTGAAGTGCCTTTGGAGGGGCTTGGATTTCAGCAACAGGAGTCACGGCTTTGTCAGCAGATGAAAATGGCTACTGTTGCACCATCACCAGAACCTGTTTGCTGGCAAGTGGAATCGGTGACCAGCACAAATTCAGGACATGTTTGTACCCAAGGTAGGAGCTTTCTATGCTTCAAAGAATTCTGAAAAAAATGGGTGGTTAGCTGCAGATCAGTCTGTACGAATTGATCGATTGGATAGTTGTGATGCGTATTTCTCAGTTTCTCTGTCTGCCTTTTTTTTCATTCCTGGCAATGTCCCAGCTTCCTGGGAAAGTGCCTTGTTGTCCCTTAATGGCTATTCTTTTTGGTGCATGACTCACATGCTAAATACCACGGCAGCAAAGCCAAATAAAAAACCTCCCAGTACCAGGCTACCATGCTATATAGTTTGTGCATCCTTTAAAGTAGAATTTTTTTTTTTAATTGAAATCCTATATGGGGCAATAGGACAACACTTTGGATTACACTATTGGAATATTTAACAGAAGGAAACGATTTTTCACAAAACCTGACTCACTCAGTCTGAGTAAACATAAAAAACAGTATTACAGCAGTTAGTGCTTTCTATCCCTCCTCTGCCCCCTTCCCAAGAGAAGTAGGAGTTGGTGTTTTAATTGAAAAAATGTAAAACTTGGTATTTCAGGCAGGCATAACTTAGATATTCATGTTTGGGGTATCTTGTTTTTCCTCATTTATGAGAGGCAGATTATCCTGGGTCTGATTACTGCAACATTTCTGGTACTCTACTCTGAAATGATTGGCTGCCCATGGAGATGGGTCACTGACCTTGACGGAAAGCCATGCCTAATCTGTTGTGGCAGTTCTTACATTCTTGTGTACAGTTGAGAACATACAATTCAGTTTTACATCCCTTAGTAGTTAGTTCTACTGCTGGTTGTTTTCAGGATAGCATCAGGAAGCTGGCATTTTATTTTGCTGTGTTTAAGTGGCAGTGTCAGTTCCAGAAATCTGCAAGAGATGGATTTGACAAAACCGAATCTGTAAAAATGTATATGAACACCTGTCATTATTATCAGTCTGAGATAGACTCTGGTGTTTTCACTCATATAACTTAAAAAAAAAATATTAGTTTTGACTCCATATGAAGCAGCATTATTAGTAAAAAATCAAGAAATCTCTTTTAACAAATTCTCAGTTTTTAATGTGAAAGCATTGTCTTCTACTGGTTATGTTGCGTTATATATTATTTTGTAATGTCATAGTGCCTAAGGAAGGGCCAGATCTCTTTACTTCATGAGATGAGCCCTGTCTGAGCAAGTTTGCTGAGACACTTGGGAAGTACATGGAAACTAGTGTGGCAGACAGTGGCATGAGCACACCAAGGAGGTTTTTATGGCAGGATTTGAAGAGAGTAATGAGGAAATTTTGATGGGTGTTACCATATGTTTTTCTTAAAATGTTGAGGAGTTGCTATCTCAGTAATTAAAGAGGCAATACTACGGTGGAAAGTGAAATTAAGACTCATAAGTAAAGCTATGTAGCTTTATTTGTTGCATTACAGAATGCAGAGGCAGTTAGAGAATGTAAAGGTAAGATGATTGCATCTGAAACAACAGGTGGGAAAATGGTGTTTGTAGTAGCCTTCTAACTAGATGCGGATGGGTCAGTGCTACACTGCCACTTGTCATGCTTGGTCAGACTGAATTTCTGCTGTCCAGTAAGATTTTTTTAAAATTATTACTGGTTTCCAGTTGTCATTATAGAATCTTGAGGCATGCACTTCCTCTGTTTCTGAGCCTTAATTAAAGCAAGGCTTGAAGAAAGGCCTTTTGAGCCAGCCATATGTCTAACAATGAACTGTTCCCTCTTCTCTGAGATCTGAAATCCTAGATAGCTTCCTAACATGTTTTTTCTTATTGTTTTCTGTTCAGCCTCCAGTTCCAAGCCTGAACTCGGCTCCAGTTCACAGACTTTGGGAAGTCAGCAGAACAAGACAGATGGCACCCGAGTAAAAACTCGCATTCTGCCCAACATGCCAAAGCTTTTCATACCTTCATCTGTCACCAAATTTCCACCTGAGATCACTGTCACTCCACCCACTCCCACCCTCCTTTCTCCAAAGGGCAGCATTTCAGAAGAGACCAAGCAAAAATTAAAGGTAATAAAAGGGAAACAGTAATTTTTTAGATTATTGTTTTTATCTTAATTCTCCCCTCAATAAAATACTTGTATGAAAGGAGTTCCTGTCCACAGTTCATAAACAGAGATAGAGTAAGTAGTGGAAGGAGATGCTAGCTGGAGCCAGTTTTAAAGGACTGGTGAAATATTGGCCATGGGTGAAATCATAGCTGTTCTAGTCCTTACCCCTTTTCTGAGGGATTTAGAAAGAATTACAAAAATGGGTGAGAGAGCTAGTGCAGCCATTGCAGTTCATAGGTTAGCAGAAGCTAGCAGAATATTAACTGTGGGGAAGCCTACTGGTAAATGTTATGTTGTTTCACATTAGGATGCCGTATCTTTTATAGAAGTAAAGAGCTATTGAATGTGAAGGAATAGCAACCAGTTGGCTTTTATCCCTGTGATCATGGGTTTATCCTGACTATTTAGCAATATATTCTTTCTCTCTCTTTTTGGGATCAGTCTGCTATTTTGTCTGCTCAGTCTGCAGCGAATGTAAAGAAGGAGAGCCTTTGTCAGCCAGCTTTGGAAATCTTAGAGACCTCAAGCCAGGAGTCCTCACTGGAAAGTGATACTGATGAAGATGATGACTACATGGACATATGACTGAATTCTGGCCATCATCAACACCAGCCATATAACCATTCTTCTTGTTGCCAGCATCTCTGGCAGTCGAAACATCTTCGTTGGCATTACTCTCCATTTAATCTGCATCATTGTGTTCTTCACTTTCATTACCTTTGTTATTACCACTACCACTTGTATTGCCTTCAAAATCTTCGCCATTCTCCCCATCATGGTGCTTGATGGAAATAATGATTGTTTACCAGGCAGTTAATTAATTTGGACCACGCTGTCACCTTTAACTTCAGTAAATGCAAGGATGTTTTGAGCTGCAATTCACATCTCTCTACTGTTCCTGCTTCTTCAAACCAGAGCCTTGGGAGTTACTCCAGTAGCTCTTTTCTATAGCATTTTCTTCCTTTTGTCGTTTTGCATTTTCCCTACTAGTTAAGTTTTTCTCCCAATAATTCAACAACCTAATGTCTGTCTAGCCATGCCATGATTAGTCCAACAGCTCCTTTTAAGGTGAATGGAGTAGGAAAAATTTGCTGAGCTCGTAGAGGTTTTAATTGCATCAAGAAAGTCTATGGCTTTGTTGGGGAGCGAGAAGCGTGAGCTTGAGAGTCTGTCAGCTCCTTGGCACTGCTGGGTGCTTTGTTGGAATTTGACTCAGTGACAATAGGCAAAGAACCAGCTTTTCCAGGCAGACAGAGAGGTTGGCCTCCTGTTTGTGCTCATTACACACCAATGTATGAGGTTCAGCAAAAATTACCTACCTGAATGTTGGCTTAAAGAACTGATATTTCCAGAATTGTCTTACAGTCCTTTCTCTTCTAATGCCTTGGACAAGCATTTTGAATTGGGGGCTAGATGATATTTTTACGGTGGAATTGAAAAAACTTGAAAGATTTCAATACCATTTCAGTAATGTCTGTTTTTTACAGAATGACATGAAAAGGTGTTTTTTATCTATCTGCAGAGGGACTGCTCACAGTTATTTATATGAGAAAATAATGGTAACAAAGATCCTTTTTTTTTTTTCTACTAAATGTTAACTTTGTAAAATAATTAATGCAAACCATGCAAAAAAAAGTCACACACTATATATACACACGCGTGCATCCACACACACATATATATGTGTATGTACATATATATATGTATGTATATGAAAAAAGAGAATGCATACAGCTTGCAATGTCAGATTTCTTTGTGTTTGGGGGAGGTGGTTTTCTGTAAAATGCAGAGCTTTGTATGAACTTTTGTTTTTTTCTAATAAAGTTGAAATGTATTGTGGTCTCTTGTTTGTCTGAGAGGGCAAGGTGCCATGGTTCTGGAAGAAGTACTACTCCTCCCTTGCTTTTATTCCTTGGATAAGAAGGTAGTGGAGGAAGGGGGTGGGGGGAAGCCTCTTCCTTTTCTGAAGACTGCCAGAGCAATTTGGATGGGTTTGGTCTTGTGTGACCCAGAACCCGGGTCAGCCAGTGTTGCCAAGATTGCCTGCAACAGGTTCACTTACCCATTGAGACGTGATGTGAATTCTTTTTCACCTGAGTATCTTTGAATGCTGGATGAACAACATAAGGGGGAAGACAACACATGGTGAACAAGATCACATAGAATATTTGGCTGTACAAATTAGCATTTAATCCACTATTACAGTGATCGCTCTCATTGGCTGTAAAAATGGTGAATGGACCCTGGATAAAAAGAAGCAGCATCAAACTTTGTATTGTAAGTTTATTCTCATATTCTGGGTTATTTGTTTTGAACAAAATGTAATTTGTAAGCAAGTGAGCATGTCCATCTTGGGCATATTAGCAAGTGTTCCTGTAACTTGTTCACTTACTACAAGTGATAGGTGAGTTGGATGCAACTGATGTGGAAAAGATCAGGTAATTGGATGGTAAAAGTAAATGGGTATTTTCAATAGTAATATATTTTCAGTGTTTGCTCTTTAATTTGGTGTAAGTTTTTTAGCATACCATATAGTCATTGACTGGTAATAAGCTAAAGTAGCTTTAGATAATCGGGCATGATCTTTATTTTTTTAGAAAATAGCACAGGAAAAAAGATACCAGCTTCTTACGAGAAATGGAACACAACTCAGAGGATGTAGTTCTAAACAGGTCTCTTTCACCCAAATAGAGTAGACTACATAGACTTTTTGGCTAATGTATATTCCTAAATGTATGGCTAACTTTAAGATCACATATAAATTCTTAGGTCCACACTTCTAGCATGGATTTGATGTATGAAGACAGAGCATTTGATTTTCTTAATTGAATTTGGTCACTGAAAATGGTTGTTTTCCTTTATTAATCTTAAGGATTCCTTGGCATTAGGCATTTTGCTTTTTTTTCTTTTTTCTTCCTCCAGAGCTTGCTAAAATGCCTGATCTTGAGCTTTCTTTTGACTTCTAGTCCTGATTTTTGAGAAAGGTTTAATTTTTTGCTGGTTAAAGAAAGCTAGAACAGGAAGTGAAACTGTTCCTGTCAGCAAAGAGAGCTGAACTTTGCTGATCTGCTCTAAACTCATTTTAATCTTCAAACTACACAACTGTGCAAGTTGTTTTATCCTATATTCAAAACTCTTACCTGGTTTTCCTTTTTTTGTTTTGTTTTGTTTTTTTGTTTTTTAATATATGATCTTTTATTCACATTGTGGTTTTGGGTAGCTCAAGGACTTTTTCTCAAGCTCAAGAAGTTACTAAGACTGAACTACCAGACCACCTCCTTCAAATTCTGCCCTCCTGCTAATGACTAAATAGTGTGTTGCTCAGCTGTGGGCCATGTTCCACAACGGGTATTACTGCTAACGTATGCTAAAGGAGCTGTTCTTCTACATGTGTGAAATCATCTCTCTGTAAGTACAGTTTATGTGGTTCTTCAGTTCAAAGAGCCGTATTCTGGAGTGAAGATGCCAAGATCACTGGATGCATTTACTTGCAGTGTTTGTCTGAAGCACCATCCCTAAAGGTACTTGGAGCAAGAACTTCAAATCCTTACAAACAGAAGCATTCACTTAAAATATGGCATCTTCTGAAGCCTGGCAATACAATTTTGTGGAATTTTCAAGGAAAAAAAGCATTATGGTAAAACTGCAGTTAGCTATGAGTTTACTTGAAGTAATTTCTTTGATTTCAATCTAACGCTAGTTGTAATAACTTGAAATCCAAGGATATGCAATGTCCAACTTACTGAGTTGCATATGAAAGTAAACACAACATCTGTCTTCAGGATTTACTGGGTAACTCTTACTTCTGAAATCACAGTGTTCCCAGGTGTCTTTCTAATGTGCCAGGCAAATAAATGGCAGCTACTGAAATGTATTGCTTTTGTATTTGGTTGGTTTGGTTTTTCCTTTTGAAGCTATAGAGACAGGAATGTCTGGTGCCTAAAGTAAAGTTAAAGGTAAGGGCTGTGATAAGTGGGGTGACGGGGAGGCTTTTAGGTTTTTTGGGGTTGGTTTTTTTTTCCCTCCCCCCTGCCAGTAATAGATTAAAAAGCAAATCTGTTTTGGCTACTGAAAAACCAAACTGTTAAGACTTCAGGCAAATAGCAAAAACTTTTCTGTTCCAAAGCAAATGGAAAAAAGAAATTATTTTGAATCAGATGTGGAGAGTAATTTGTGGATAGTCGATACACTTTCTGTGCTGTTATTGGGCATAGTTTTTACACATGGTAAGGTATCTTTCACTGATCACCATTGTTAAGATATATAGTACTGGGATTTGGCTGTGTTTAATGCAATTTCATTTCCTGGCACAAGGATTATATAATCTATGTATAGTTAAGACCATCGAGAATTTATTTCTCTGAGGCAAGGACTAGTGTTTTACTAAGAATTAATTTTGTTGGGCATAGCTGTCATTAGTGGCTTCTGCCCACTGTCCCAGAAATGCTGTTCTTCAAAAGCTAATAATGTTTCATTCCACAACCAAAATATCGAATCAAGGAAGATACCGAGTATCTTCCTAATTTTATCATATACTAAGGTTTGTCAGTTGTTGTCTCTTGTTTGGTTTGGTTTTTTTTTTTTTAATTAGAATGAGATTTCCTCATGAATAATGAAATTAATGTCTTTTGCAGCCAAAATAAACACCATATGGTGAGGGAGAAAGGGACCAGGAAAAGATGCGCAAGGCATGGCAGCCAAAGCTGATTAGGAGACAAAATGGACTGAATGGGAACAAAGGGGCCAGGTGAGAATAAGACTAAATCTTACCATCCAGGGTGGGATCACACCATCGTTAAATTCAACATTCTGGCAGTGGTGTTGATACTTCAATGAAGCTGAAAAATCCGTTGTGTACATAGCTTGTGCGTATGGTGTTACGCAGCACGCAAAGCTCACTTCTGTTCCTGCAGGTGCTTGTCATATTTAAGGAAAAAGGTGGCAGGGTAGGTGAATTGGGATGCTCAGAAGAAAAAGCAACAGGCATAAATCTTATGATCTCTTACTTAGTCATGTAAAGCTGGGATGAAGAAGCTTTGTTCTTGCAGTTGAAGATGATGCTAAGAACTTCAGTGTAGGTGCTGAGTGCTAATTGCCATCTTTCCCTTTCTTCTAACTGATGACTAGGAATCCACTGATGCTAAACTTTGAAGCATGTGTCAGGATTTTGGGAGTAACCTTGGGGTACTGTACTTGGGCTGTACAAGCCCAAGTTACGCCTTTGTGAGAACTTCCCTGTGGAGGACTCGGCAGTAGTTGTTGCAGGGCACAGTGCAACGGGTACCATTGTGAAGGGTAACAGACCAGCATCTGAGGTTTGTTGGCTTCTGGAGGATGACTTATCTTCACTTGAATGGCTCTTTCACACTAATGGTTAGAGACTGCAGGCAAATCTCACCCGAGGTTTAAAGACAGATCTCTCCTTGTTCCTGCTGCTGTTTATCTGATGCATGTATGAGGATGACACCCCATCAGGAGGCACTTGTTAGCCAACTCCAGAACCTCTGTTCCACAGTCTTCAAAGCTGTCTAAGAGCTCACCGAACTCTGTGCAGCTTTGTTCACATAACGTGGGTATCCTGCTGCCTGTGGATTTCTTTTGGGCACAGCTGAGCCTTAAAAAAGAGTTGGGGCCTTAGAGACTACATATGGAACATGCATGTTTGTTTGATCCCGCCCCCCATACTACCCACAAGCCATCTATACCAAGCACGTGAGCTGTTTGCCCTGTCTTTAGGAGTTTGATGCTTGCAGAGGCTCCGATGCAGGCTCAGATTGCAACCTTGCAATGCTCAGATGCAACAGCACAGTAGCTATGGATGTCAAGGGGCTTTTCTGTATGTTATCTCAAAAATACTTCCTATCCTACAGATGGATTTATCCCTAATAAAATGTCATGTATGAATAAGAACAAGGCATGTGGCCGGTCTGGCTGGAACGCAATCTCAAGGCTGTGAGTGTGTCTCTATATAACCCTGTGCCCAAAGTTCATCCCGTGTCGATTGGGATCTACACTGTCTGCTCTGGCAGCGCTAGAGGGGGCCCTAGGACAGAGAAGAAAAAGAAAAAAAAAAAAAAAAAAGAAAAAAAAAAAAGGAGGGGGAAAAACCAACCCCCACCCCAAACCCTAAAATGGATGACCGGGATCTATCTTTAAACTTCTGAAAGACTAAATTACATTGCTGTTTTTGACCTCACTTACTTCTAAGAGCCTTCTGCTACTGTACCATATGTACTTTTCATAATATATAGTCTGATTCAAAGCAGAGGGAATGAGAATCCTCATAGTCCATTTACAGGATTCTGTCCCATGTTCCTGGCCATAGAAAAAAAAAAAAAAAAAAAAAAAAAAGAGCTCACTTTGTTACCATTAATATTGCAACTTAGCAGGAAAACAGATCCACTATATACTTGCTTTTCACACGAAATCTGTTCGCCCCATAACTATGTTTTTCCTTTTTTTTAATTCCCCTATAAAAAGCCTACTGGGTGTTTTCCATTTTCCTGTGGAAAGCAGCATATTATAATGGAGGAGAGAAAGAGCTAATCTTGTGTAAAAGGGGTCAAATAATGCTTTCAGCTTCGTCAGTGTAAGTCATGATTAATTCAATCCTAGTTCATTGCACTGGCATGGGCTTTGTACCGGTGTAACTGAGCCCACGCGTAGGTGATAAACATGCAACTCATGGATCTGTAAAGTGTTTTGAGATAGTTTCATTAAAGTAAAATTCTAATTGGCAACAAAAATGTGTATGAAAATGATGGAAGAAATATGTAGCTTTCAAGCTTGGAAAAAATGTTGTATAACAGTCTCTATTGTCTAAAGTAGCCAG